ATAGCGACTTAAAGATTACAAAAGTGCCTATAAAGAAGAACTTTCTGTGATAAAGCTCAAGAAGCGTCCACAGGAGGTGCTGGATTATACGCATGGAACATCAAACTGGCGATCCCAGTGGATGGAAAGGATGCACAGAGAGCACGAAAGGGTTGGCAACCAGTCATCAGACGGGCTCTCCACTGAAGTAGTGATCCACTTTTTAGCATCACCGAGCAGAACTGTTTGCACCAAAAAAGTCATCTACAAAAAGGTCCACAACAGAGTGGCAGGAGGTACAGATGGACACGCAAAGAGGACTTCAGGACATCCAGCATAAATCAACTTATCCAAACAGACAGTTAAGTAATCAGGAATTATCTTCTTTTTAAACCATCTTAAAAAAAAAAAAGTGTCAATATATTTACAAGCAACACTGTGGGTTTTTCTCTGTATCTATGAAGCGCCTTGAGGCGACTTTTGTTGTGATTTGGCGCTATATAAATAAAATTGAATTGAATTAACTGCAATAACACCAAATTATTTCAATGAATGTAAAGACTCTGGACACCACTCCCTCTGTACAAACCATTTACCAAAATGAGGAACAAACAATTAGTGGATTACAATTAAGAAATTCAAATCTAGGAAATTCTTTATTTGCACCAGAATCTAATGATCTAATGCCTCTTTACCAACTTTGTTGTTTAGTTGAAGAAGAAGTTAGGTTCTTTTTGTTTTTCCCAGAGCAACAAAATGTTCTTTTTAAAATTCTTGCTGCGTGAAAGGCTCTAAAAGATCTATCAATGATGATTTGTCATTTGCCAATGTTGATAAAGGTCATCCAGTAGTGCTGCTAGATGAGCTCGTGAGTCCACGGAATATGACAGATTTCCACTGAGGTCTACGGAATTCCATCCACAGAATTCCTCATCAAATTAGCAGAAACAGTTTAGTAAGAACTCTCCCTTACAGAAACAGGAAGTCTCACTAGGTAGCCCTTTCAGTCCCAATTATGGAAATTCATTCATGGAGAAGTTTGAGCCTGATCATCTGCTGCTTATCCAGGGCCAGGTCTCAGAGGCAGCAGCCCAAGCAGAAGAGCCCAGACCTCCCTCTCCCCAGCCACCTCCTCCAGCTCATTACACACCAAGGTGTGCCCAGGCTAGCCAAGAGACATAATCTCTGCCTCCTCCTGGTAGGACATGCCCAGGACACCTTACCCAGGAGGCACCAAGAAGGAATCTCAATCAGATCCTCAAACCATATCCAGCTTGCTCATTGTGCCATATAGCAACAGCACCTCTGCTCTGACTCCCTCCCAAATGACTGAACTTCTCACCCCATCACCAAGGGAGGGGCCAGCCAGTCCTCAGGGAAAACCACCACTTGCATCCACATCTTATTCTTTTGGTCACTACCCAGAGCTCATAGCCATAAGTGAGGTTAGGGATTTAGAGGGATAAATCAACAGCCTCCAGCTGACACTGCAGAGGCTCGCACCCAAGCGTGAAACAGCAAGAATGAGAATTAGCACCTCAAAATATGACGCCTGAAGAAAACGCGTGAACTGAATGTTTATAAGTACTTTAATTCTAGATGACAGTTTGGCACATTGACACTTAACTAAAATCAAGAGTAGTAACCATGACAGTTAAAGATCTAATAGTTCCCCATCAAATATTACAGAGGAAAGAAATATTCCTTAAAATATATGAGGGAACTCTTATCTGTACGCATGTTCTGCAGTAGATGATGGAACTACTGCAGAACAAGCCACATCACTAGATGCTGCATTCTTCCAAATATCAAATCATGTCATCGTTTCCAATTAAATACTTACACACATGAGAGGCTCCTCAGTCAGCCGTCCCAGGTATTTCTTCTTCTGTGCATCACTGCCAGCAATAATGACAGGCATTTGCTGTGTGGGGAAAACAGATACAGTTCATTCTAACAGAGCTGCTCTTCTCCTCTGTGCTCAATATGCATGAAATAAACTTTGGGAGCATATCATTAGCCTTATTTTCTTAACATGAAATACTTTTGTACGTGTGAATCTAAACAGCTGGCTGATGAACAGTCAAAAGCCGGCTCCAGAGAGCCCGTGATGGCTGATTACATAAACCCCAAGTTTCCCCCCTGGGTTCAAAATAACCTTTTAATCATCCCTGATATGAGTTCTGTCCTGCTGCCAAACTCATGTTGTTTATTGGCTTTCGTTTTCAATTGTCTTCTTGATAAATGGCCTGTATTTGTATAGCGCTTTACTTAGTCCCCAAGGACCCCAAAGCGCTTTACACTACATTCAGTCATCCACCCATTCACACACACTGGTGATGGCAAGCTACATTGTAGGCACAGCTGCCCTGGGGCGCACTGACAGAGGCACCTGCTCCGATTCCTGTCCATATGTACTGAAAAATTATGCCTCTTTGGCTACGACTTCTCCTTTTCCCTTACTTTAGGAGACATTTTCTCCTCCGAATGTGGAATGAGAGTCAGACAGATTCTGATAATATATGGCCCCTTGAAGCAAATTTGTATTTGTAATAATTTGCTAAATAAACAATATGCTTTGCAGCAGTCCATTTTTGGTGGATCAGTTGGAACAACAGGTTCTAAAACACATTTAAACAAGTTACAAAGCCAGTTTAAAGGCTCTAAATCTGGTTCTAGGTTTGTGTCTTGGTGGGCCTGAAAAAAAAAAAATATATATATATAAATAAATAAAGAGGCTGTGAATAACTTACTCCGAGAGAGTTTGCCTCAATGGCAGTTTGCATCCCTGTGCATCCATAAGCCAGTTCCTCAGTGATGAGGCAGGTGTCAAAGCTTGACAAACCCATTCCACCTGAAAACAAAGAGGAACAAATAAGGTTTTCAAATGCAGTGTTCAGTGTGTCGAGTTTCTTGAAATTAACACATGTCCACTGCCATTTTCCCCCAGGAACAGCAAACATGGTCACACTAGGCAACAACATTACAGCTATCTGTAATATCTCTTTATGTAAAGGCAACATGTATGGTATGATGGAGACTGCACTAATATTTTACCTGTGAATGAATCTCATCCATGCAAAGCAAAGTTTAGAATGAGCCACTAAATTTCAAACAAGGCAACATACCATATTCCTGTGGAATGTGACCGTTAACCATACCAAGCTCCCACGCCTTCTTGATGATGGGGAAAGGATACTGTAAAGGGAGACAACATGTCAGCGTTACCATTTTTAATTTCGCTGTACCTGTAACAATGACAATAAAGACATTCTGTTTCTGATTCTACTAAGCCTTTAACAATCATGCCAAAGGAAAAAAATAGAAAGGTTAAAGCACCACTGCACTATAGTCAGGGGTGCACATAAGTGTTCCGCAGGTGCGCATTCGCTGTCAAAATAAAAGACGCGCACCAGATAAGAAGTTGTAACACGCGTTTGTGTCCATATAAAAGGCACCGTTTTTGTCCGCTAGAGTGGGATTTTCACAGCATATTCTGCACCAAAATCTGTGCGTTCATCATTTGTTTGAAGCCAGCTCACCTCCTGCAACCACTTTTCCGAGAATATGCGATTCTTTTGTGGTTCGGACTCCTTCTGACATTTCTTTGTAGGTGGAGGAACACCAAAGTAACTGCTTATAGGAGCTTGCTTCTTCGGCATCTTTACGACTTCTAAACAAATGTCTGTCCCCCTCCAGAAAATCTTATGTACGCAAACGCGCGTTGCAACTTCTTATCTGGTGCGCGTCTTTTATTTTGACAGCGAATGCGCACCTGCGGACCACTTATGTGCACCCCTGACTATAGACCTACTAAGTGATAACCATAATTGAAAATCTCTAGAGACATCAACAGTACAAGCACATCTACATATATAAAGAAAAAATAAATAAAAAATAAAAAATTAGACCATCGCTACAGCAGCCCAAGCCTCGCTTTACTCACTTCACCACTCTTGTCATAAGCAGGAGCAACAGGTATGATCTCTTCTCGTGCAAACTTCCTCGCCAACTGCTGGAACTCCTTCTGCTGATCGGTCAAGTCTGTGGGCCAAAGAAGCAACAAAGCATTTTAGCTTTATTTTAATAGATCCCTATAAACTACATCACTGGAGCAGTTATTCGCTAAACAAGAATTTCATGCATCAGTTACATGAGACCCTACTTCAAAAACAAAATGATTACATTTTACTTTAGGGGATTTCAAAAGCCTCTTGGTCTGCATCAAAGAGGCTCTGTTTTTAGGGAATAAAAAAAAAAAAACAAAAACAAAACCCACATTCACTATATATTATATTACCAAGGCCTGTAGCCTACTTACCAAATGAGAAGCCAAGGGATGTTGCAGGGCTGCTGGAAGATGCTGTGGCACTGGCTGTAGCTGTAGAAGAGCTCTGCAGACGGATCCCACGCCGCACACCAGCTCTGAGGACCTGTATGTAAAAAATATAGGTATGCATCAGACAGTTTGTGACACCTCACACCTGTTAAATTAAAAACTTAAGAATCATTAATCACCACCCATGAAAATGACACAAAAAGCCTAGTGTGAGTGCACTTTCTTAGCACTGTGAGTTTCCTGTTCGTGAATTCTTTACTCAAATTCATAAGCCTGTGAGCCGTGGTAATGTTTGGCTGCAACCCAGGAATATGAGCATTAATGGTAGAGTTATTTGTCTTTTACTGCCGTGTTTGACAGTTGTGTCTTCATATATTCCTGTTCACTTTTGTAACGGTGCTTTTTGATCGCTTGTTTGTTTGCTGAGATGTAACATTGAGATTTATAAGGGGTTAGAGTCTGTCCCTTAAATTTCTTTGAAAACTCCAATGTTGCCTAGTCCAATTTAAAAAGGTAAACCTTTTGGTGTAACTAATGCACGAATGCATATTTTGACAATATAAAATTACGTGTAGATTTAGGAGAAACCTTTTTACATGTAGACTAAATGAACATTCCTCTGATAACGTCTCATAACGCTATAGCCGCTACAGTACTGAGCTAGCTAACGCTACCGTGTGACGTAGTCGCTAAACATGCAGAAAATCGGATGAAGATCGATAAACTGTCAATCGGGAGATGCTCACAGAAACTCTTTAAGGAGTTAACCCACAACAGAGACAGGCAGATCATTGTTAAAATAGAGAAATTTACCTTGTTCAGCAGCATTGTTATTGCACCAGAGGACTCTCTGCACTAACCGTGTACTACCTTTGCCCTACTTCTACATAAGCGTCCTCTCACCCAATCAAAGCAGTGACATTAGTCACGTGTCATTGGTTGGCCGTGACTGTGACATTTACCCCAGTTAGTTACTTAAAAGCTTCACCTTACAGCAGATATCACTTTAAAATGAGTTAAAGCACAGAAAGATTACTTTAGCCAAATAAAACAAAACTAAACCTAGATGTTTTTTCCCCAAAAAAATAATCATTAACTAAAATAAAACACGACCAAGATTAGGCTTTAGTGCACATTTATGGAGAATTTTTACAGGTGGAAAGTAACGAAGTACAAATACTTAGTTACTGTACTTAAGTAGAATTTTCAGGCATCTGTACCTAACTTGAGTAGTTTTGTTTTCTGACAACTTTTTACATTTACTCCCTACATTTTTAAACAAATATCTGTACTATCTACTCCTTACATTTCAAAACAGACTTTACTTTTGACTTAACGCATTTGAGGGAACTTATTATTATTATTTCAAACATCAAACCAATTTCACCATAAACAGTGACGCATGAAAGGCAATCCTGTTCTCTGTGGTATTTAATAAACTGAAAATTTAAAGTTCACTTGTAAGTCCTGTGTTTTTTAATCAGATGTTAGAATCAGATTTTTTTTTTCATATTGTGAAACCTGCTGCAAAACAAACCATAGCAGATTAACTGTGTTTTTAAAAGGTTGCATTAAAATGCGCTGCTTTTTAGCACAGGGTAAACAGGTTAGCTGGTTGTACTGTGATGGATTTAAAGTTACAGTGTGTGACTGGTGAACAGTGGTTGTGGTGCTCATGGTCAGAGTCAGGTCACATCAAGAGTAGCTGAGTTGAATTTGAATTTAAGCTGATGATGCTTAGATTCATTGACTGAATTCCACCTTCATACAAACTGTACTGTCCTGTCAGTGCGCCCCAGGGCAGCTGTGGCTACAACGTAGCTTGCCATTGCCAGTGTGTGAATGTGTGTGTGAATGGGTGAATGACTGAATGTAGTGTAAAGCGCTTTGGGGTCCTTAGGGACTGAGTAAAGCGCTAACAAATGCAGGCCATTTACCATTTACCATAATATAAAGGCAGCATAAACAGTGTGCTGTCAGTGCAGAGGATGGAAATCAGCCAGGCCAACATTAAACATCTGCTGACATCTTGTTGAATTTAGGTGTGTAAGAAAATCTACTGGAGCTCTCATAAGAAATTACTGCGAGTTGTGATTCTATTCTCCATGCTCAGCCACTACAACTAATTTTAGGTTTCCCCCTCCTGCTGAATCCCACTTTAACCTCTTTCCTACTCATTTTGTTGTTTAGAGGCAAAGTCAGTGTGATCAACTGTATTATTATTGAGTATTATTATTATTGAGACAACACAATCAAAGGTTCTGAATATTTTGAAATGATTTAATAATTTAGGTGGGCTTATTGATCCAAATATCAATAGTATCAGTACCACCACTGCTATATGTACTGGATCAATACTAGCACAATAGTATCAATACTTCATGCTCATTAAAAAATGTTCAAAATTTGCAAACTGATAATGACTCATGTAATGAATCATGACACACTGCTCTCCCCTACATAAGCTGCCTTTATAGATTTAAAGTATGGGTGTCGAAATCAGCAATACTGGCCCTGTATTTACTTGGTATGGGATCAATACCATAATTTACAGTATCGCGCACCACTGCTTAAAAAATGTAATGATGCGCCCTAATAATTACATATTACTAAAATTATATAAGATATTGACAGGTAAGTGGATGGATGGCAAGGCATATGATGTTAAAGAAATTCAAACACAGGCAAACACAATGAAAACAACCACAGTTAACAGAATAATTAGAAGAGAAAGGTTTGGAGAAGCAGGAACAGTGTTATGCGCCTTGAGGTGACTTTTGTTGTGATTTGGTGCTATATAAATAAAGTTGAATTGAATTGAATTATGGCATGGGCATGTATGGCTGCCAACAGGTCACTAATGTTTCTTAATCATGTGACTGCTAATAGAAGTGGCAGGATGTTTATTTGATTTTATTCCGCAACCTAGACATCCACATTACTCATACTCTCATAACACATACATATAGGGCCTTGGGGGTGGGCACGTTATACAGCATCCAGAGGATGGTCTGTGTATTCAAACCCACCTCTGGCGCTGGTGCCCTACCCTCAATTTAAAATGCAAATAGACACTGAGGGTTTTCGGGAGGAGCCATGCTGCTCTCTGGCAGGAAGCACCATGCCCTCCTGTGTTTTAAATGCACTTTAGAACAGCATGCAGCAACACTACATATGAGCGGACGGAGGGAGGTTTGGGGTCTGGGATGCGGGCCGTCCCTGCTACTGCAGATAAGGAGGCGGTATGCTTTCCTCCACCCCAGAGAGAAGGGTTACATCTCCTGGGTCCGAGTACGGTTTGCCCCTCTGGGGGTGGGGGTACCCGGACCTGGGATATAGAGTTTGTGGAGTGTGAATGTGTGTACAGTGTCTATTTGTGTCTGTCTCCACGTTGGGTGAGTGCCGAGTATTTGTTTGTGTATATGGGGGTGGGAATGCACGTTTGTGTCTCCGTGCGCCTGTTCGTCTGTGTCTATATGGCAGGTTGGGTCTTAGACTCCACCTCTCTGGGAACATCTCAGGCTCTCCGAGGTATGGAGGCGTGTCTCCCCTCACCATACTCCCTGCCAGTGGCTGATGCCCTCAGACGTTCATGTGGTGGTGGTGGTGGTGGTTCACAGACACAAACTACACCTTTGTTGGCTGCTACCTCAAAGCAGTTGTTATCTACTGTTAGCTAGTTTATTGTGATGGTGTTGTATTTATTATGTTGCTCTTTTTTGTTTGTTTTCTCTTCTGTTTTTTCTTATCTCCATACAGGTGATCCAGGTGTTTTGTTTCTGTATTTTTTTTTCTTCCCCCTTTCTCACCATGTCTTCTCTCCTCTCTATTTTTCTTTCTCTCCCTCTTTTTCTTTCATTCTTTCTCCCTGTCCTATCCCCCAGTCATGACTTTAATGGTCAAGTCAACCCAACAAAGCATGCTTTTCAGGCCTGGCTGAGCAGGACAGGACAGGTGATGTCCATGAGTTTTTTAGCTATTGACTACAAAAACTGTCTATGATACAGTTACTAAATGATTTTGAAGTACTGCATCTTTTTTTTGGACAGGAAACACTCAAACACTCTATTAAAAGTTGAGTAGTTTTGAATATTTGCAAAACATATTTTAGACTATCGAACACATTTTAATATTAGACAAGAATAACACAAGTAAATAAAAAAAATTGCAGATTTTAAATGATGATTTCATAACCATGTCTTCTTGGGAAGCTGAGTTAAACTAGCTACTGCCAGACTCAAGAAGTTATTTAAATAAAACCTGTCTGACAAAGTGACAAAGACTAAAACAAACACATAGTGTGTCCCATGATCTAAAGAAACAGGTGAGAAACAGTCATTGACATCTATCAGCCTGGAAAGAGTTAAAAAGCAATTTCTCAGGCTTTGGGACTCCAGTGATCCATTGTGAGAGTCATTATCTGCAAATAGAGAAATCCTGGAACAGCAGTGAACCTTCTCAGGAGTCAACGCTTCGACTTCAACTCACCCAAGAAGTCACAAAAGAACCCAGAAAACCATCTAAAGAACTCAGAGTCTCAGTGAAGGTCGGAGTTCAGCAATAAGAATGAGATTGGGCAAAAATGGCATCTATGGGAGAATTCCAAAGGCTCATCTCACATTTTCTAAAAAAAAATATATCTAATGATCCCCAAGAGAGAAAATGTTCTGTGGGCCGAGAATTCAATTCTCTGAAAGGTTTGATTTCTGTAACCTCTGGCATAAAACTAACACACCATGGAGGGTTACGTGGTCATGTCAAAATCCTGACTTAACCCTGCTTGAGATAATGAAAACCGTCTGCGCTTGCATTAACACAATTTTGCAAAGAAAAGTGGAAAAAAGCTCCCCCACAGTGATATGAAAGACTGACAGTTACTACCAGAGATGGGCAGTAATGCGTTAATGTAATCCAATTACTTTTTTCAACTAAAGAGTAATGTACGGGATTACTATAGCAAAAAAGTAATTAGATTACTGATTAGATTATTAGATCAACAATGGATAATAAGGAGTGCAGGAGAGAGTACGACCATGCAGCATTTAAAGCGTTGACATACTGACATTACTTTGAGTTTTAT